ATTATTACTTTATAATTGTATTAGTTTAGAAACCACTGTTTATACTTATCTCCCTCAAAACTTCCAGCATCTCTCTAGCTCATTTTGACAGATTACGCTATTATACACCACACCTTACTATAGTCATATGCCAAATTTCTCCTCATTTCCTTCCCATTTTTTCAATAGTCTTGAATCTCTTAAATCTCGACTCTTGTCATGATTAGCACTGATTCCAATGTCTATGTAGATGATAATTCCAATATACTGGACTCTCAGTTCCCGGAATAACCTCGGTAATCGACTACACCACCTGGCATCCCCCCACTGTGATCATACTTGAAAACTATGCTCTCCAATATTGTATTTACTAGTCTCACGTGACTATTTAAACTTAAACTAATGAAAGCAAAAACTCAGGGGGGCAGCTCGGTGGCTCAGTCAGTCGAGCATCTGACTTCGGCTCGGCTCATGATCTCATGGTTTGTGGGTTCGAGCCCCACATCAGGCTTTGCACTGACAGTGCGGAGCCTGCTGTGGATTACCTTACTCCCTCTCTCTCTCTGCCCTTCTCCTGCTCTCCTTCTCACTCTCTGAAAAATAAACATGAAGAAAAAAAAATTTTTTTTTTTAAATTTTTTTTCAACGTTTTTTATTTATTTTTGGGACAGAGAGAGACAGAGCATGAACGGGGGAGGGGCAGAGAGAGAGGGAGACACAGGATCGGAAACAGGCTCCAGGCTCCGAGCCATCAGCCCAGAGCCCGACGCGGGGCTCGAACTCCCGGACCGCGAGATCGTGACCTGAGCTGAAGTCGGACGCTCCACCGACTGCCCCACCCAGGCGCCCCGAAGAAAAAATTTTTTAATGAAAACTCGTTTCCTCAGTCATACTCCTTACACATCAGCAAATACACAACACTTCCACTACGACAGAAAATCCTACTGGGCAGCACTCGGCTGCTCTTGACAATTTCATTGCCAAGATAAGCACCTCCTCTAATTCTTCTGTTGTAGAAATTCTCTTCTCTAACCTCCACCTCTGATCTTTCCAGCCCTCTCTCTGTGGCGATTCTATAGCCTTCAGTGCTTTGATGCCCACAAGGATATCAAGTTTGGTGACCATACCACTGCTTTTTTGTCATGAATCGCTCATGTCTCTTTTCCCATTTTCTGACTTGGGCCATTTGTGAGGGTCACTTATAATAATCATTTCCTTACGTACAACTACAAATTCATTGCTTACTCCTTCGTTGATCACACACATCTGGAAGATGCAGCCTGGTCAAATTCAACTCTACCTACTCTCGCCCTTGCATACAAAGCTGACTGTGACTGTATCAACTGGGTTCATTTTATATTTTTAAATTATAACTTCTCAGCGTGGTTGCTAACCAATCTATTCTGTGAATTTCCTAGAAGATTATTCCCAGTTCCTCATTTCGCAGTTCTCAAATGTCTTCTCTCTTTCTTCAAACTCAATTGATGACCTACTTCCTTTTATCCTGAGAAAATATAAACATCACAAGTACATTTCCTCTGTTCCACTGACCAAATATACTGAAAGAAGAAAGAAAGAAAGAAAGAAAGAAAGAAAGAAAGAAAGAAAGAAGAAAGACAGAAGAAAGAGAGAGAGAGAGGAAGGAAGGAAGGAAGGAAGGAAGGAAGGAAGGAAG